AAAATAATGATCTTTAAAATAGCATCATATGACCCCTTTAAAGCGTAACAGTCACTCATTGATCTCTCAACCAATGGGGTGAGTTTAGGGCGGGGCTATCTGTTCACCTGACCAATAGAATGCAGCAGTGTCCGCCCCTTTTTTTTTTTGCGTTGCTGGTTCAGTATGTTTTTTTTTTTTTCATTCATTTGAATTTTATTAGCCAAAACAACCAGCTACCAGGTGAATCACAATAGTACAAAGTTGGATTTGAAGCAAAAACGTTTTTGAAAATCGGACAAAAAGACAAAGACCTCTTTATTGAGGGAAAAAACAACGATCACATGAAACATTTCTAATGACAGTGAATTAAAAAGGATGGAGAAATCTAAAATTATACATTCAAAGTTAATTGTGTATATATAGAAACAATATATTTTACATTTATTGCTGCGCTTCATGTGAGTGGGCGGAGCTCAACACTTCTTTGGCTTGCTGTGACTCTCTGATTGGTGGAATTTTCTTCACAGCATTATGGGTAATGTAGTTTTTCACCAGGGATTCCACTGTTAAGCATGGTTATTTAAAAAAGAAGTAGAAATAATATGGGCTGATGGCTTTAACAAAAGAATATGCTATTGATTAACAGCCTCTGAGCTCAAAGTAGAGCTGTGTTTAACAGTTTTGAAGATATTGTTAAAAATCAATTCACCAAGGGAGAAAATAAATGGCATTTTTACTTCCAGAACCTGATTATTGCTCTCTGTAGCATACAGAGGGAATTTAAGAAACCTGATTGATATTTGATGATGATGATGAAGATGGTGCAGATACTCACTTTTTGCTTTTTCTTCTCTTCTGCAGCTACGTCAAATCTTGGAGACAGTCTGGCAGGACTGACAGTGTTTGGCACCAATGAAGAGGATCCATACATCACCATCAAAGACACAGTGAGACACACTAAACCTGAAAAATATGACATTTTCTAGTTTATCTGATGGATCTGTGTCCGTCTGACCCGCGGTGTGTTCTGTAGGATCAGTACGAGCGGGAGGATTTTCAGATTAAACCCACCGATAACCTGATTCTAGCTGGACGGGCCGAGAAAGACTGCTGTAACCTGGAGGTTTACGGTAGGCAGTGTTAATGAGATACTATATAACCCTGCTGTGGACTGAAGAGCTCGTCTGATGTTGATGTTGGTTGATTGTTTGTGTGTGTTGTCAGTGTTTAACTCCCAGGAAGACTCTCTGTATGTGCATCATGACATCCTGCTGCCCGCGTATCCGCTCTGTGTGGAGTGGCTGAACTTTGACCCCAGTCCAGAGGAAGGACAAGGTGAACATTTGAATTTCAGTCATCAGATATTTATGTAAATATTTTGTGTAGTAGGAAAATGTACTTAAGCATTTAAAGGATACAGAAAGAAAGGGGATTAGATGGTTTTCAAAATTAAAAACAAAGCATGTCATAATCAATAATCTTAATCAACCCATATTGATTTCTGTGATATTCTGCCAATATCTTGGATAGTAGATGGCTGGTATTAGGGAAGATATATGAAATCACAGTACTTTAAAGACAGTAGAAAAAAAAACATGCATAATTGCTGAAATTTATATTTATTTGATATAATATTTACTAAATTAGAAATAAATAATCTGAAAATTAATTATAAAATATTATTAAGACTTGATTAGATTTATACTTTAGATGGCAACTTTTTGATTCTGTAATCCTATTATAGTATTTTTCACAAATAAAGAAATAGTTAAAAACATGTAAAGGAATTAAATACCAGTGCACTCAGTAATCTGCTAAATTTGTGTGCAATGGGAAAGTTTGTGAAATTAAAGCTTTATTAGATGTTCAATACCTTATATGATATGAATGCATATTTGCCCAATGCTAACAGTAGATAAAAAAAAGTGTTATAGCATTTTCCAATCTATTACTAATAATAGAAAAGCAAATGCTATACTTTTTTGAATACTGTTTACTTTTTTTGTTTAAAAGTTATGTGTAATAATTTATTAGTCAGAACTGTTCAACAGAGACAGTAAATGAATGAAGACAGAGATTGGGAGCTGTGTGCACTCAGGTGCTAGTCTCGCGTAGCGGCTGAAGGTCTGGAATCCATGGCAGCTTTCATTGGCCAAAGCCCGTCCATGAGGCCGTTTGACCGACATGTCAAACAACCAATCACAGTTCGTTTTGTTCATCGTCACGCTTCGGGGCTTGACGGCCAATACCGAAAAATGAAATATTATATATTAACCTTGGCAATATATCAGTTGACTACAGTATTTTTTTTCTTTCTATTTTTTTTTTAATTATCTCATTTCTCTCTTTTTTTTATTTTTTCATTTGTTCTTGTGATTTCATATTGTTATTAATGTTGCTTAATTAAAACTAAAACCACAAAAAAAATTGTTGCTTTAAATCAAATAAACACTAAAATAAAAGACTGAAAAAACGTAATCTTATTTTATTTCAGTGAGCTGCAAAGGCAGCATTTCTGACTTTGATGCAGGGTTTGTTGATGTGCTGTGCTGCAGGGAATTACGCGGCTGTAGGGAGCATGACGCCTGTGATTGACGTCTGGGATCTGGATGTAGTGGACTGTTTGGAGCCGGCCTTCTCACTCGGCAGCAAGAAGAAGAAGAAGAAGGCGGCGGCAAAGAAGGTGCTTGTACTCAAGTCGCTTAAATGGCTCAACCTCAGTTTTGGTATTTTGTGGTGTTGAATGCTGCACTGTAAGGGTCATGATGGTAGATGTTTGAGTGATTTCTTGGTTCAGAAGTGTAATGTGTTTGTGTTTTGAAGGCGGCTGAAGCCGTCGACGGACACACGGATGCTGTGCTGGATCTGTCCTGGAACAGACTGGTCAGGTGAGACCGCCGAGCGTTTCTGAAGAGCAGATGTTTCCCTTCATGCCTTCATTCGTCAGAGTCTGATGAGTGTTTCTGGTGCAGGAATGTTCTAGCGAGCGCGTCTGCGGATGAGTCGGTGATCCTGTGGGATATGGAGAAGGGAAAACCAGCGGCGACCCTCACAAAACACACAGATAAGGTACTGATTGAAAGAAGGCTCTTCTGCTTACCAAGGGCTGTGTTTATTTGATCAGAAATACAGAAAAATTGTGAAATATTTTTACAAATTCAAATAACTGTTTTCTATGTGAATATATAGTCAAATATAATTTATTTCTGTGATCGAAGCTGAATTTTCAGCATCATTACTCCAGTCTTCAGTGTCACATGATCTTCAGAAATCAATTTAATATGCTGATTCGCTGCTCAAGAAACATTTCTGATTATTATCAATGTTGAAAACACTTCATATATTTTTTGGAAACTTTGATAAATATTTTAAAGATTTTTTGAAAGGGAGTTGCTTAATAAATTTTGATCTGATTTCCTATTGCAGGTTCAGACGCTGAATTTCCACCCGTTTGAGGCTCAAACTCTCATCAGCGGATCATATGACAAGTAGGTCATGCTGTAGAAAAACGACTTGACCAATCAGAGCACAGCACGACTGAGGCTGACCAATCAGAGTGTTGTGTGTCGCAGGTCTGTGATCCTGTATGACTGCCGCAGTCCAGACGACAGCCATCGGATCTGGCGCTTCAGCGGACAGGTGGAGCGCGTCGTTTGGGATCATTTCTCTCCGTGCCACTTCCTGGTGAGCGGCCGAGTCGTTTGGTGGATTTACTCTGAACTCTGAGCTGTGATGTGAATAATCAGTGATGTGTGTTGCAGGCGAGTACAGAGGACGGCTTCGTTTATTGTCTGGACGCTCGTTCAGATAAACCTGTGTTCACGCTCCGAGCTCACGATGGAGAAGTTTCAGGTCAGTCGCACTCGCACATATTCATTACTTGAAATAAAATATAACTGAAAAAGCGTATTTTATTTCAGTTAGTTGCCACGGCAACATTTCTCATTTTTGTTTAGTTGAACTATTTCACTTCAAGTACTAAAATAACTCAAAACTATATCAAATAAAATGCAAATTAAAAACCATGTAGACAAATTTCAAACATACATTCATATAAAAATAACAAAAAATGCTAAACAAAATTGCTAAAATTTGACTTAAAATTAAAAACTTAATAAAACTGTAATAAAACAATTCATAATAAAATAAAAATAAAAAATGTTATTAAAACTATAATAGTATATCAGTGATACTAAAAAATGCCATCTTTGTTAAATAAAACTAATACCATAAAAAAAGTTTACATTCGTTTACATTAAATACATTTTAACTAAAAATAAAATAATAATAAAAAAATATATATATATTTTAATTCAGTTAGTTTCCAAGGCAACATTTCTCATTTTTGATTAGTTAAACTTGAAATAAAATAACAAAAAAAAAACAAACATGTAGACATATATAAAAAAAATAATAAAACAAATGGGGAAAAACACAGCAAAATTAATAAAACATTAAGTAAAATTGAAATGAAAACAGGAAATATAAAAACTATTTCCAAATATTGATTACAAACTATAATAGTACATCAATTACATACTAAAATAACTCCTAAAATAGTCTCAGATCAGGGTTATTATAGTTAATAAAACTACATCAATAAAACATTTTTATAATTTAAAGTAAAATAAAACATTTAAAAATGTTCATTTTATTTTAATTATCTGTCAATTATAAAACATATGTAATAATGGGTTACACTTTATTTGAAGGTTACAGTGTAATTCTACATTTATTATATTACAGTGTAATTCTACATTTAAGGACTGAGTAATATTAATTAACTACGTGTACTTCCTATATGGTTATGGTAGGGCTGGACAATAATTCAATATCAAAATGTATCGCGATATATTGTTTTTCAATAACGGTGATATGGTTTTTAAACACATTTCCGATATTTCGATATAGCCTACATTACCAGTGTTTCCCATACATTGATTTATTTGTGGCGTTTGACTTCATTGAATAAACATGAGCACTGCACGGTTTAAAGTCAAAACTTGTCGCGGGTGTTTTATATGAATGTATCTCTACAGGGAAAGGACTGTCTTCAGAAAAGTTTCGATGGGATTTTTATTTTATCTAATAAAGAAGTGTTCATGAGCGGAGCTGCTTTGATTACAGCCATTACTGGAGAAACCGCTAGTTCAACCGCTC